TTTTCCGAACAAATTAACTTCCCCGCTATGAAATCTGTCAACTATTATACCTCACTTTCTAGTGGCGCCGCCCTGGTGGCAGAAAAATTTGTGGATGCCATCATTGTCAACGATTTTTGACAGTCTATTAATTGTAAAAAATTAAAAAGAAATAGTCTTTTGTACCGTTTTCACTATTACGCTTCGTACAAATTATACAAAATTATCGCGTATTCGGTATGTACATAGTTCGGTTCATCGTTTTTACGTTACGAAATTGTATCAGCGATAACCGATGACCAAATTCCTCAGGTGCTATAGTTTGTGTTTGTGTGACGTAAATGTTTTCAGAGAAATTTCGTTATCATTTACACGAGAGGTATTTCAAATGATATGTCTAAGAATTTTCTAAGTACTTTAAACATTGTGTTGGACATTTAATATTAAGGACAAACGATTCGTTTTTGTCGTTTATTTGCAACGAACCCTAGTAAAAGTAAAATGAACAATCTAATTGATATACATATATATATATATATATATATATATATATATATATATATATATATATATATATATGTATATGTATATATCAGAATGTGCAAGGACACATGGGCCATGGGTCAAGTGTCCCTCATAGTGTTGTACTATGCTGTTTTTTTGGATAAATTATTTGTCAATAAAGTAAAAGAATAAATATAAAAAAATATATTAAAATTAAATAATGAGCAATTACATGTTTAGCTGTTTATTGCAGTACTGCAGAAGATATTAAATACTTCTTTAGCGTTCATCTTTGTAGCAATTTCTTTCTTCTCCTTCTTTATGAACATGCATTTAGCCATCCATTTAGTCAGGTGCGTTAGGTGGAAATAATTGCTCGGCAGGGCTGATTGTCACGTGAAACGCACAATAATTGGCTTAAAGTTCTCATATTTGGCAGAGCCTTTGCTCTTTTGTAGGCATCTGCTTATTTTTTATTTAAGGATATTTTTTCTCATCTGTTGCCAAAATTGTAACACGCCCTTCAAAGCTAAAAACAAGGTGGATCCTCTTTATATATTTTGGCACATTGCAAAACATACTCTAAGTCTTTATCAATTAAGTTATGGGACAGCAACTTTTGCAGCTTTCCTATTCTTTGTAGCTGAGCTCTGGGAAACCTAAAGGATATTTAATTCAATAAATAATCAAGAAAAGGAATATACACTGAGAGTCGGTAATATTCTTCAACAGACTTAGTCTTAATGTCTTATTTGTTTGACGGCCGGTTATTCTACGTACCGTTCAAATTTCGTTATCGAGGATCTCAGCTTTATTAAATAGTTTTTTAAATATGTCCGTGCTAGTATCACTTTGTCTCTGCAAGTTGCTTGTGGTCATATCGACACACATTGAAGTACATCAGTTTCAATGACATGTAAGGTTCGAGATAAAGAGAATGTGAGTATCAGCAAGGATTACCCAGCTCACCAGAAATTCCGACGACATTATAGCTTAGAGCAGCGAAACCACAGATGTAACACGCCTATCTTCTTGATCAGCCATTGCTTGCAAAACTTCAGGAAGACATGGCAAGACTTCCAAAAATGTCAAAACCACTTCATATCATTCTGTCCATCTAGTTTTACACTTTTTTTTAATGTAATAGGTCTTTACCTATGGATTATATTATCGTCAACTAAATACGTTTAATTGCTAACTCCCAACCACTCTGCTTTTGAGGAATAATAAAAAAACTGATTTAAAAATTAAATACTCAAGTATGTGCAATATACAAAGGCTAATATGGTAAAATTTAATTTGTTTCTTATTATATATCATCTTATTATATCAACATTTTTGCATTTATTTCAATTTAATTACTCTTTACGGCCTAAAATTGGAGTTAACATATTTTACAATTGTAAATATTTTTACGGCGATTAGTTTGGGAGTTATCAGATTTTAATAATTAAATTATTGTCCTTGAAAATAATATAGCTGTTAATATTGAAATAAATTCACAAAAATAAATTGAACATTACTATCACCAACAGTTACGACCTTTTATCGTTCAGTAAACTGTTGTAAAATTCTCTGAAATCCGCTGGCAGGACTTCCTTAATTTGCTGAAGGTCATCGTATTTTCGAGCTTTAATTTTCTGTCGGATGTGGTTCAAATTTTGTATTTCCCCAAAACTTTTTGCTGAAAAAGGTCCTTTTCCAAAGAAAATGTCAAAAAATGTCAAAAAATGCCCCAAAGGGCAGCAGCGTCCATGGCTCTTCATACCGCAACTTATATCAAACTTCTCTCAATGGAAAATACATGAGTGCGCGAATATCGGTGACTTTAGGGTCTCCCGCTGATAATCCAAGCCGAATGCTTTTGGTGCTTGAATTATTACGGAAATCTTTGAAAGAAGTATGTTCCAAATACTTGACATCAAATGGATTATTGCGCGCAGACTCAATAATTTGAACGTAGTTCGCAGGAACATTTATGATTCTATTACGCATTCTCCGTTCTATTAAAGAATGCATAGCATCCACTTCCATTTGTGTATGGCCGACTTCTAAATATTTCTACTCGATAGTTATTTTGTATTTAACTGCCATACTTAGAAGCGCATTTCACAAAGTCACATTGCGATTTTGATAACCACAGCCATCAGAATAGATAATAATACGTATATCTGTTTTGTTTTCCACTTTAGATATATTTTCGTCAATAAAAATATGTCCAAACACAAGCAAACTCATCTGCATTACGCCCACCTTCCGTTTCGTTCCATACAAAACAATAGCCATCTTTGCTGATATTCTTATAAAATCATCATTGAGTTGTATGTAATACGTAGGTACCAGAGAAGCTATTTCAAACAAAAAATGTGCGCTATTCTATGTCTTCGCGTTATTCTATGTATTCAGTTGAACATAGTGAATGTTCGGGATGCGAAATCTAGTGAGTAGTACATGTATATCGATGAAAAGCACAAATTATGCACTTGAAGCTTTTTTGCAGTACAATGTACTAACATTTGACTTAAGTGCTATTAAAACTACTTGAAGGTCTACTGTGAATACAAAACTATTATTCTCTTTATCTGTTTATTTTTCTTTTCTATCTTCTTCTTTTTTCAATACATGTAATTGGTAATCATGTTCTTCCATAGTCCCAGCCTTATATCTTGCACATATTTCACATTCGTCATTTTTGGGTCTAAACAGAGAAAGATTATTCGATGACATAACCTCAAAGAAAGTAGTTTTAGATAACGGTTGTAGCGGAGTTAGCATAAAAGATTGCGGCGCGATATCAATAACCTGGGTTTAGTTTACGTAGTTAGCACGTTTGCCGATTATGCGTTATTTTTTTTTGTTAGATACTAAATAGTCAATTAATCCAAAAATTGATTTAGCAGCTTAGAATTTTTAGCCGAGGTTATGTTGCCGTTCAGCAGTACTGGTCATTTCCAATAAAAATAATTTTACGGTGCATGCTGTACTGGACAGCTGAGTCGGCTTGTGCAATGGGTAAAAAAAGCTATAGGCTGAATGTTGGTTATGTGTGGCCTTTTATTTTACAACTCACGTTAACTCCTCCATCCTATGCTTCACATTGTCTGATAACCGTTTCACATACGTTCTGTCTATTGATGTTAATTACACAACATTAACAATATATATCACGTACATACTTAAAACAAATGTTATTTAAGCACTATCGTATTAATCTCCTAGCTCTTTATTTATTTAAACCATTGGGGGGGGGGGGCGTGCTCCTGTGCCTGTCGTAAGAGAAGACAGAGGTAACAAACCATCAGATGTGCAGCAGCGTCTACGTAATATTAACTAAAAAAATCGGCGGTTGCCAACCCGCCAACCTAGCGTAATAACTATGAAATATATATCCCACCCCCCACTCCTCCTGAGGGGTGAACTTCAGCAGTGGATTTTTAATAGGCTGTAATGGAACAGTACTAGGTAGTGGGTACTCCTTTCTTTGGAAACACACTTCTTACCTATTTCTACCAAAATCGCAATGTTTGACTGCTGTGAACGGTATAGAAAGCGAGGACAGTTACAGGCTAAGAGGCATTTGTGCCAATATTTCTCGGAAGCACGTTGTCGAGTATTTGTTAAATAAAGTCTCGAATCGGGGACGACTAAATCCAGTTCAACCCTCAGAAGACACAGATTTGAGCGTTCACCGCGTAAAAAGAACCCTTTTGTCATGTCTCTTCAATTGCAGGGTGCTGCCCTTGTTGCCTCAGCCAGCATCAGAATCATCGGCGTCAACATATCGAAGGACATGAAGTTTCGTGGAACTTGGGAGGGAAGGTTAAATTGACGTCTAAAAAGTTTGGCATGCTCAGCAGTGCGGAACAGTATTTCATGCCGGCACACCGCTTGCAAGACGCAGATTTGGCTTCACATGGAATACTGTTCTTATCTCTGGGCTGGGCAACCCAGTGCCAGCTCATTTCACTTTACCGCATCCAGCGCAGATCGGCTCGAATCGTCGGCGACTGAGTTCTTTCTGATCGATTAGATTCACTCGCAATGCATACCTTTGCATTTTCTATTGCCTTTACCACGGGGCGTGGCGTGAATTGTTCACATTAATTTACGCCGCTAAATTTCACCAACGTATATCATGACAAAACTCATGATACCATCCACACCATCTGGGTGCTTGGCCGTGCACGACTGCTCGTTTTCCTAGGAGTATTTTTCCTCGCACGACTTCTTTGTGTAAGACTTGGGGCCTTCAAGAAACGAGTTTATCACCTTTAAAAAAAATCAGCAATTACCCAATTCAGTACCCTGGTATTGCAGTTGTTCATTGTGCGGTCGACACATACAATCAGGTAAGCCGCATGCACGCTTATTTGCTCTGCAAAAAATATATATCATAAATAAAAAGCTCTTTTCAAAGTCAATAAAATGCACTATCACAATCACGCATTACGGATGACGATGAGGCAAACCGTTTGGTTGGAATGTGTCTTTTAAAGGATTTTATACATGTGTTACAGGTGCAGGCGGTTGGACAGCTAATTTTCACTGGCTTAGGCCTGGCGCAGTACTTCTGCGTCATCGACTTCCTGCAGGAGCTGCCGCTACTCCTTTACATCAGGATATTATATTTTCACAGTAAGATACATCTGTTATATGATATTACTCCTTTTTCATCATCAGCTCCTTAAAGCTCACTGTTGGACATGGGTCTCCCTTGCCGTAAGGCGAATTTGTCTTTTTAACTAACCTAAACTTCTATCCCACCTGATTAGGATAGGGTGTCAAACGAGCACACAGTCCACCTGATGATAAGTGGTTACTGTGACCCATAGACATCTACATCTGTCCTCAATAAATACTCAAGATGCAGATGCGTTGTCACCCGTGAGGACTAAGATGGAATGCCTCTTTGCCAGTAAAAAGGGTCTCCAGTTCTCTACACTCACCACACGAAACACAGCAGCATTAAGCTGCTATTTTACGCTGGTTTGCTGTGAGAACGTGGTCCTTCCCCAGTCGAGCCGAACCATTCGTGCTACAACTATATTACTAACTAGCTGTGCCCGCGGCGTAGCTCGCGTATACAGGTTTTACATAAAGAATTTGTCGTTTAGGTAAGAGAATATTAAACGATTTATTTCATTACTGTATCAATAAGTGGTAACTAAATAAATCATTATCATCAAAGTTCTAAGTCGTTTATGATAGAGCTTCTGTGTAAACGAAGTTAGAAGTAGGCTTAGCCGGGGTGTACGCAAAAAGGTTACGGGGGCTACTAACGCGGGAAAAAGCAACATAGAGTTGGCCATGTGCAAAACAGTCAGTACTGAGGTACACTCCTACAACGTGTAAAGTTTGACCTTGCGCTTTATTTACGGTCATCGCATAACACACGCTCACTGTAACTGGGAACTGAACGCGCTTAAAACTGAAAGGAAAGTTAATTCTTAATAGAGGGTTTTTGGGCAGTGCTGCCAGATAAAAAAAACTCATTCAGCTCTAGGACAACATAAAAAGCGCTAGATTTCATGAAAACAGCGCTTTAAAAAAGCCCTAGATTTCGCACTAAATTAACTACCAACAAAGTTTGTGTTTTTTTATATAATCATAATAAAGAAAACAACATTAAGTTTTTTTTCTGGCAATATTTTTTGATGTATCAATACTTCGCAGGACATCGACTTATAATTATGACAATTGCTGTCAACAGTAGTTAGTACTGTACGAACAATAAAAATGTCATTAATTGTTTAAAAGTGCAATGTATTTCGCAACTTAGTTTCAGATGTCAGCATCTGATTGCGGTTGCTACACAGTTTCTTTGTGTTATAACTTCTAAGTAACTTTAAACTTAGCTGTGCTCTAAGCAACTGACTGAAACTGAATAAAGCAAAATAAATGCGTTGCCAAAACCATGAACGAAAACTTTAATAAAGGGGATTTCCCCGCTTATAGTCGTCGGTAAAAAAATCAAGTTGATCATCCTAAAGGGGAAGCCAGGAGATCCATAGCACAGGGTATCCTAGTTTGGACTCGTCTCCCATGCTCTTTGTTTTGTGGAAAAAATATGTTTGAAAAAGATAAACTGCAATGTACTATTTGTGGGAAAAAATAATAATGGTCATTATTATTATTATCGGTAATGTGGACTAACAGTGCTGCTATAAAATAGTTAATAACCCGCTAGTCGCTAAAATATTGAAATGTGTGCTAAATAAACCAAAAAAGCGCTGGATTAAGCTAGGTGCTAAATTTTCGAAATGCGCGCTATACATACCAAAAAAGCGCTTAATCTAGTTCCCAAAGCGCTAAAATGGCAGTACTGATTTTGCGTATATTATAAATACAATATCACGACATTTCGTTGCAAAATTTTTATTTTGGTCGGGTTCCGTTGTATGGTTTCGATGGATACAAATTTCTTCAGTAAGTCTCAATACGATTCATCGGCGAAAAATCTCAACACAGCAATTCAGAAAAGTTTGTAATTTGTACAACTCCATCTATTACGTCCTTTGTGTGAGAAAACATCCTTTTTAAATCTCTTTTTGTGTTTTAAGTATAAATATATTAATTATTATGGAAGGTTTTTTTACACACAAATCTTTTTATTACTATTTCTGAGATTTTATGGCGCCATTGGACAAATTCGAACCTACATTTCAAAATAATAATCATTACTTTCGATAGAATTAACCAATTTTAATAAAACAAAGATTAAATGTAACTCGAAGATACGCTTTATGATTTTCTTAACGATTTCTTTGAAAATAAAAGATGTTTACTTTAGACGTGATGCGTTCATATAATAACAGACAAATAGACAGACAGACAATTCTAAAAATTATAAAATGTTCTTATTTAATTATTTTCAGTTCCCCATAATGATTTTAGCCACCAAAATATATATACAATGTACAGAAAGAGACACAACATGTTATCATCATTTTTATTATATGTATATATTTAAAGAGAGATGGCGCTGCTAACATCAATTATAAAAATAAAAGAGATTAATTGACGCGATTGATACATTATATAAAACGCAAGAGAACTTATAAATCAGTGCCTGCACAGTAAGCAAAAAAAAAAGTTTGACTCTCGCCAAAACCAACGCAATTGTTAATAGCTCTTTTAAAATTTGATTTACCACATAGAGTACTCGGCGGTAAAGAATAAATTGAGTTTGTGAACACGCAGTAGGGCAGCGAGTAATATAATAAAGATTAGCAGTAAATATGAAAACTCATTTACAGGAAAAAACCACATTGCAAAATGTAATGTTTCACAACAGCACCATCTATCGAAGAAATGGGTTAACTATTGAGCTTCAGATTTAGTTAATAAGGTTAATATATTTTTGTATAATATATTTAATACGTTCTTTAATACTTTTGTTTACTGCGTTTTAGATATATATAATTATATCATTATTTTACATAATTTAACTATGATTTATGATATGATATTAGTTTAAAATGCACTTGATGACTCAAACAAAACCACCGTTGAGCAAATTCGTACCTATACTTCCCTACCCATACTTCAGAATATTTATCATAACTTTTGATGGAATGAACAGATTTTAATGAAATAAAGACTAAATGTAACACGAAGATACACTTTATAATTTCCTTAACAATTCTTATGATATAAATTAGTACTTTATACGTGATACGTTAACAAACAAACAGACAGACAGACAGACAGACAGACAGACAGAAAATTCTAAAAATGGTAGAAATGTATTTAATTACTTATTTTTAGTACCCCTCAATCACTTTTGTTACAAAAATATAAAATGTACAGACATCTGCTATTTACAGTTTTATTATATGTATAGATATAGCTGCAGCATGGCTCTACCACGTAAACGATCGAAGATGGCAAAATATACTTAACGTAACAAAAACCTGTTCACTCTTTCCTTGAAGACAACTACATTATAGTCGAAAGGAAAGAGAGATGCTGGCAACTTATTCCACTCGTTTGCTGTACCCATGAGGAACAACGAAAGAAACCGTTTGGTTCGAAAGCGTGGTATGTCGACAACAAATAGGTGAAGACCAAACAAGGTCCAATGATAGAAGGGGGAGGGAGAAATTAAGTTATGCAATTCCTACGTACACTCTCCGAAACGTCGAAAACTAAAAAGTTACTTCGAGCCTGTGTTTAAGACTGGTGAGATTGGTTTCAACCAGATTTGGGTACCAATAACCTTTTTAGCATGACTATCCTTGAGATTCCATTTGACCATGCTTAGCAGGTGGATAAAAGACCACAGTACCAGACTCTCTCTCTCTCTCTCTCTCTCTCACATGTTGCTCTGCTGTCTATCCTCATTTTGGTTAAATTAGCATATAATTTTCATAGCACTAATCATTTCATTTGATTCAGATCCAGATCATTGCGGATTCCGGATAAACATCGGTCACGCTATCGACGGCATCGCCGACCAGGCGTTTGTGCTCATCACTCGCGAGCCACTCCCTGTATTCCGCACCTTCATTATCAACTGCACAAGCGTTGGTCTCAGCACCCTCTGGATTATTACCAGCGGCATCTTGATGAGTAAGAAATAGAGCGTTCTAGGGCTTCCGTAAGCTGACATATACCTAACTAGATCCCTAGAGAAGGCCGTCGCATATTTAATTGCACTAATGCTGTAATACTTCCAGATCGTCCTGCCTTCTGGTTGCTGGTTAGAATTTATTAACAGAAAACCCAACAACCGAATTTTCACCGACCAGGGATTCGAACCCGGAACTACCAGACTAACGAGGCGGTATGCTGCTGCATTACCTTTTAAGAAAATGAGTGGGCCTGTGGATTCGCTCATCTATTTTGTATCATTATATCATCGAAGAATATTGTCTCAATATGCACTTTATTTTTCAGATATGCTGATTTCCTCAGGATGTTTTCCTTCGCCACCGAGCACGTAGTAAATCAGCACTTAAAATTGAAATTTACAAATGTTGTCTCTCTTAAATAGAGTAAACAAAACTATTGATAAAAACAAGCGTAAAAGAACATATAAATGACGATTATGACGAAGCAACGTGGTTCGGAAAGTCTGCAGTATGTAAACATGTTAAAGTTTGCCCCAGGCATTACATCGGATTTGATAAACCACCAATTCCCCCAAAAGAACACCGATTCGTTCCAAGGATGATCCGTGAAGCTATTGAAATAAAAAAAAACTAACGTCAAAATTTCAATAGAGATTATGACTGGGTGCTATCATATACTTGGGATCCTATAATTAACATAACTAAACGCAAGCTTCATCATCATCATCATCATTACAGCCCACTAGTTTTTTTTTATAGGATAAGGGTGAAAAACGAGCAGACAGTCCACTGGTGGTAAGTGGTTGCTGCGGCCCATAGACATCTACACCTATCCTCGTTAGCGAATCAAAATGCAGATGCGTTGTCATCCGTGAGGACTAAGATGGAATGCCTCATTTCCAGGAAAAAGGGCCTCCGGCCACCTGCACTCACCAAGCGAAACGCAGAGGTAAACATCTACTTCACCCTGGTATTCTGTGAGGTCGTGGTACCACCCCGGTTTGAGCCGGCCCATCCGTGCGACAGCAAAAGCTGCCGCGTGGCTCTACCACTGTTTAGTTAAAAGGAATCGCTTCATTCATGCTCCAGTTATATCGCAGCGTGGTGCTACCATGTGCAAACGTATAAGTGTAGTGTTTCTTACAGCTGGGGGTGCGAAGAACGCCCGGACAAGGCTTGTGCGGTGGCCGTGGATCATCACCACCGTGTTCACGTGCATCCTGGATGTCGTTGCCTCGGTAACATTTATCAACGACTCCTTTTATACGAGGGTAAGTGAATTATATGTGCCGTGTGATAATAGATTCGGAGAAATATACTGTCTTTATCTCCAAATGTAAAACTGCCTAAAGCTGACAAATTTGAAGTACATCTGTCACGTATGTGTTGAACCTAAATCTTACACTCCGTTCAAATAATTTTGCCCAACGTGGTAGCCATGTCTGGCTAAAAAGCCATTTGACTCTCTCTAAACTAGATCTTTTATAAAACTGACTATTAAATGAACATTATTTGTTCTTTTAATTTCTCTTTCTTTCATTAATGTTTCCTTTCCATCTATCAAAATTATCTGACCGAATTATAACTGTTCTTTTTCTTTTAACTATATCAAAAAAGAAATTAAAAATATTTTTATAAGTGTAAAAAAACACATTCAATAAGAATATGAATGAATGAATATAATTTTATTGTACACCACAAACAAATGTACCAATTACATAACAAAAGACAGATTGTAAAAATGTACAATTTGGCGGCCTTATCGCTACATAGCGATCTCTTCCAGGCAACCAAGCGTGTAAAGGAATAAACAATGAATACTAGGTTGGTGGTGCAATATAATTATACAAAATATAATATCAATACATGCGATATATAGACAATAAATGCAATAAAATAACATATAAATAAATAATACATGAAATGATATAAATTACTAATACATAATAAAAGATAAAGTAAGGCATATAATATATACATATACATATAAGAGTATATAAACAAACTTGCATATCTACCTAAAATATATAAATAAATTACAAAAATTCCTCAAAAAATAATATAAAGCTGATAAATACAATAAATACATGATCACATAATTTATCCTAACGGTCTCCGAACGATTGAGATGCTCTTTGATTAATCACTTAAAGATTACAATAGATTGTGCTTCACGTATATGCAAAGGTAGGGCATTCCGGAGCCAGTAAAAGATTTATTAAAAAATAATGTTTTGTGAGTTGGTACCCTTAACATGAATTTTCTAGAATTACTTGTATGTAATCTATATTGATTAAAAATTATTATATTCTATTTTATTCTATTCTAGATATCACCGAGACATAATAATGTTGACTTCAAAGTCTGTGTTTATCGTTCAAAATAACGAACTGCGCTCAAAAGACTCAACATCCGCCTGCTTCGGAATACTCAGAATTATTAACGTCTCAGTTGTTTTATTTACCTTTTTCTTCAGTCCCAAGGGAACCTTTTCCTTTAATGTCCTATGCACTTATTTTCTTTTCACAAATAATATTTCAATTTTCTTGGAAGCAATCTTTTGAACTCCTTGCCGATGAGAGTTTTAATACTGTCAAGTAATATTATATGTTCCTCTAATTTATTTCTCTTTAATTAATTTTTTCTAACATTTTATGGGTACTGATCTGTCGCTTATTGTATATTGTGATCGTAGTACATATTTTTGCATACTCAATACTATTTTTAAAATTTTTATTTTCTTATTCTATTCAGAGCGCCTCCTGTTCTATTTTTAAATTTATTGATTTTTTCCTGACGCAATACAGTGTTGTACTCGTAAGCATCTACTCTACTCCAGAGGAAAAGTCCCAGTAAAACATTTTTAACTGCACTGCTGGGCCAGTATTTAAGGGAATTATTGCCTTAACTGTCACGCTTGTCAGGCGAATTGACGACTGGAGTACGACGTTTTGACACTGCTACCCGCCGCCGCCTCCCCAACGCCGGCTCGAATATTTTACGTATAGGGTAAACGTGAGTCCATGAGACGTTTCGATCACCGTTTACAGATACTCCTCTATATACTAGACTAGAGCGGCAATTCAGAACAAAAACTGTAGCGCGCTGGTGCGGGTGCGGGCGAGTAACCGGCACGGTAAATACGAATTTGGCGGATGGGGACTAGGCGAGAAAAGTGTAAGATTTTTCCGTCACGAACCCTATATTGTGAGCTATAGTGTGAGCGAGATGGAATAATATCGACGGATACTGGTCGATAAAACGTTGTTCAATTATCCATCGACGTCGGTCGACAATTATTAATCGATGTGGTAGTAGGTTCACCATCTGTATTTTTTTAAATGTATACAGAAGAGGATGCGTTATTATCGGCCAGTACGCTCTTGCTCGTATTATTATTACAGAGACGCAAACGCAGAAGACTGGATACAACCGTTTTTTAAGGCCAGAAATCGCTTATTTCATCTAGACGACATTTTAAATAGCGATCGGCAGAGCAGGGTGGGTTCTCGAACAATTAAGCAGCTCGATCGACGTCGACTAATCCATTTCATAGAATACATAGAAATGTTTGGCCTGTTACGACACCCTCGGGCTAAACTGGATTGATGGATCCTCTTAGTCTATGTCTATGTGGTGGGGACTATTATATATTAAGTTAATATTATAGTAAATATTTTATTTTCTATCAGACGCTATCGGACATAATGTCGTACGTTGGTGGCATGGTGAGTGGGATCGGAAACGCAGAGCTCAACACAGCGTGGGCCGCTTGGGTGATGACAATGGTGTACTCGCGTTTCGTCGCACTGTTCTTCACTAACCTGCTGCTGCTCGTGCTGGTGGTGATCGACGGCAACCTTCAGAGGAGCAAGGCTGACGTGGTACGTGGGTAATCTCCTCTTCCAATTACCCTTGGCCCTTTTTATTTGAAATCTAGTGCGCTTCTCATGTGGCCCCATATAAATTTGATCAAGATCTGATCTTTACTTATGGAGCTATCCTTGATAATGCGTAATTAATTTACTTCAAGTACATTGATGATATATTTATTTTATTTACCACTTCAGTAATTCCTTCATGTAGCAGTTCAGAATAGCGCCCTACTATTACTACTAAAGAGTACATGACTGATCATAACCCCTGGGAACGAGGTGATCGCTACCATGCTGTTTCTAAATGTTTTCATGTTTAATTGTACAACATACAATATTGTAAATTATTGTTCAAAAGAAAATATTTCCGATGGGTTTCTTGCTGGTTCTTTATCATACCTATGTCCTGGGTAGAACCGGAAAGAAACCCAGCGGGTACTTTTTAAAATTAAAATTATACAATAAAACACAGACTGTACAAACTACTTACAAAACACATTTATGACTCTGAAGCATAGAGCAACGCAGGCCACCGCACCGCCGGCAGACCGAAAATGAGTAGCCATACCATTCCTCTCGGACAAAGTATAAGTCCACGCAATCCTATGCGTACAAAAAAAACTAGTTGCAGTCCCACTGCGCACTAGACTAAATCCAGTTGCGTGGCTGTTGCAAAGTTTAAAGTATACTTAAGCCTAGTTTGCATATGTAAACTCTAAATTTGAAAGATACGAGTATTCAGCCGTGAAGGTTTTTCAAAAAAGTTTGAATTTTATTTCAATCTTGTTACACTATCTTGTAGCGTAATTTATTTGAATTGTTTAATTAAACTTAAGTTACAGTCTATATAGCCACTGTTAGGATGGCTCGAAAGAGGGCCAATAATTTTCTGCTCACCAGATGTCGCTAGTTGACACTGAGGTAAAGTATTTTTTACACAATGTCATTTAACTGAGAAGTTGTTATTTTTAATAAAAGTTTATCAGTTTCTAGAGTATTATATTAATACACAAAACAATACGTCAATGGTTTGCTCTTTAATTTTTTGCGCATTATTTACTATTTTTTAATTGTTTTTACTTTTATAAATATCTGTGGCTTGGTTTACATATTTTTAATGTTATTAATTTAAAATATATCTAATAGTATAGAAAAAAAAACAATAACTTTTACATTTTCCGACCAAATTAACTTTCCAGTTATGAAATCTATCAAATATTATACCTCACTTTTTATTGGCACCGCCCTGGTGGCACAAAAAGTCATGGATTTTTTTTTTGGTTTTCTTTTATAAAAAGTTACTTTACACTGCTGTAAAACTAATTTAATTTAATTACATACAATAAGTTAGTTTGACTGCATGAATTGTATGAAAAATCACTTATATATACTGTAATGCTTACAATAGCAATTACTTACTCATTCAACGGTTCATAACAGTATGTCCCACTACTGCTGGGTACAGCGCTCTTCTCATTTCAAAGTAAATTATAGTGTAGGTTTGCAACGAATATTCGTCTATTATTCAATATTCGGCCTATCCGGCTACTTTTATCATATTCGGTCGAATACCGAATATATAAGTAATTTTTTATTGTTATAGTCAGATAAATGGTAAAATGAAAATATAGATTTACTTTATAACTATGTTTTTTTCTTGTAACCATTAATGTAGTCATAGCCATATAATCAACTTCTATATTATAAAAATTAACACAAAGCTATCAAATAAATGTCTATGCACTTGAATTATCGTAATTAAAATTCAAAAGTGGTAGATTATGGTGCGGAAATACTAATTTTGATGCATTTTCAGGCAGGAATTTACTCCTTTTTTTCTCGTATACAATCCCAGCTTGAGATAAAAGACGCTATGAATAAACACTACTTCGTTACCGGTCGAATATTTTTCCCTAATAATCGGCTATTTAGCCAGGAAGCTCGTAGAATATTCGGTATTGGGCGTGTGGCTGAGTACACTAATCGTTGCAAGTCTATTACAGATCAATTTCGTTAGTCTCGCTCCTCCTGTGCGTAATGCGTATTGACGAACTTCACATCTCTTTGAAATAAGTTTTATCTTCACACTAAAAATCACTTGTAAGTCAGTATTTGAAATTACATTTATCAATTTCATTGGTGCCGGTGAGGATCGAACCTGGGCCAGGGTTTCTTGCCTACTATGAAATTACTTACGAGATAGAGCTATGCTACAGCTATATTATAGTTGTAAAACGAATGGGTTGGCTCTACCGGGGAAGGACTACGCTCTCACAGAATACCAGTGTTTCGTGTGGTGAGTGTAGACAACTGGAAAGCCTTTTTACTGGATACGAGGCGTTCCATCCTAGTCCTCAGTGGTGACAACGTATTTGCATTTTGATTCGTAATTGAGGATAGATGTAGAAGTCTATGGGCCACAGGATCCACTTACCATCAGGTGGAATGTGTGCTCGTTTATCAGCTTTATTTTGTAAAATTAAATTTGCACCTATCCACTTGAACTAACACTTGAGTTTCTTTTAAGTGGTCTATAGATAATAATGTGTTCGTAAAATTATAGCAAGATGGTTTTAATTTGCAAACGAGAAAAAAATTAAGAAGGCGTATAATTAACTTCTAACCACTTTCTAATTACCCAAACTTACGTCTATAAAATTCTAAAAGACGTTTCGTTGGCAGCGCTTCGCACCGCCAGTTCGAATCCGAAACGAACGCGAATTTATATGGACTATAAATAATCGTTCAGGATCTGGGGGTTTGTCCCTGCGTAATTTATGTATGTAAATCGCCTCCATGATACAAAAAAAATTCCTAGAATTTTTAGTAACAGGATAGACATAATCGTCACTTTTATATATTAACAATAGCTTACGGATTGAACTATTTTAGTATATTTTGTTTTAATATTGAATTATTCGTTTGAATTATTTATTTAATAAATCGAAACATTTATAGTTGAAAAAGCATTTAGACAATAACCACGTGTTCAGTACCTTTTTAAATTTTGTCATTCATATTTTAAAAAGAGTCAGGAATGTTCATTTTAATGGCACTATAGGAAATACTTTTATTGTGTTGTACCTACTGTTTTCAGATAAAATAAAGTTGTCATTTTAAAAGGCTTTCTAGGATTTTTACGTTTTTCAAATAAATATTTATATTTCCGTGCAAATAAAGATACCTCTTTAATGAATAAACAGGGTGGTGGTAAAATGAAGAATTTCTAAAAAAACGGTCTATATGAGTCACTTTGAGAGGCCCCGCCAAAGCTCTGATACATTTTTTGCCGATATATTGGGCGTTGCCCTAGAAAATTATACCATATGCTAAAATTGATTGCACACATCCATAGTAGGCCATGTCCAACAGCAGCCTGATGAGGATGAGAAGCAGAATTTCTACAAAGTAACACCTGTTTCAATTAACTGTCTGTTTTCAGCAAGTGGAAGCTCCCATTCCAGCTTCCATTCCAGCTCCTCCCACACCTCCAATCATGGCTCCGTTGTCTACGTGTTCGATACGAGACGAAGAGGCCAGTTTGCCTAGTGAAGAAGTGACTAGGATACCGCGACCCGGACTCAGTCGTGCCTTCCGTAGGATGAAGACGCTTCTCTTCAATCGCCAGGCTACACCCGCGCCACGTCGCTCATCCGTGCCTGAATCATTAGAGCCTACACCTGAAAGGTTTCATTATCTTTTCTTTGTTTTTTTTTTTTAATATAAGAGCAAATTGATGTGTTGTGCAGATGCATTGCTGTAGCTCTACTACTCAAACAGTCGTTTGCGAGAACGTTGAGGACGCCTTTAACTTTGCGCGTAAATAACGATATTACGATAATTTAAATGTAATCGTCACGGTATTATCTCGCTTGATAATATCGTCATTTTCGAACTTATACTTCTTTTGGAGCGTTTGGGAAAAATGATGAGTGTGAATTTTACAATGCGCGCGTACATTGACACCTAAAAACGACAAATTCAGTGGGTAATTACCTCATACATTTTTTTGTTTTAATACACTAAAGAAGTTAACTTCCTACGTGCGTACATAAGTACACACACACGCACACACACACACACTCACACAAACACACACACACACACACACACACGCGCGCGCGCGCATGCGCACGCACACACACACACACACGCACGCACACTTTTTTCACTTATCGAATAACACGTTTTTATAAAATATAATTACAAGCAAATTGAGTCCACCTGATGGTAGTCCACTAACTGTAATCCATGGACACTTGTAACCAACTTCAAACAAAGAAGGCTACATATTATGTGCTATCACCCCGGAGGGCTTAGATAGAATGCCTCACAGCCCGTGTTTTTTTTTTATTGATAAGTCTGACAAACGAGCACACAGTCCACTTGATGGTAAGTGGTTGCTGTGGCCTATAGACATCTACATCTAATCTTGATTACGAATCAAAATGCAGACTAAGATGGAATGCCTCCTTTTCAGTAATACGGGTCTTCGGTTCTCTACACGCACCATATGAAACACAGCAGCGTTAAGCTGCTATTTTACGCTGATATTCTGTGAGAGCGTGGTCCTTCCACAGTCGAGCCGACCCATAACGAGCTAGGCTCATTTTCATATCACTATATTCTTCATACCGTAACACTGCAGCAAGCACTGCTAAATCATCATAATAATAAGATATGTTAATGCCTCGTTTATACATTTCAATAATTTAAAATTAAAAAATTTGTACAGCCGACTTCAATATAAATTACTAAGAATAAGTCAAAAACTATTTGTGAAACCGTGATCAAATTTATATGGGACCACACGAAAATCACCAGCTTTCAAATAAAAAGAGAATCATCGAAATCGGTTCACCCAGAAAAAAGTTATGAGATAACACACATAAAAAAATAACTAAAGAAATAACTAAGAACTGTTCATCGGGATGACGCAATGTCGACGAAAGATAAATAAAGATTTCACGTGGTAGAGCCACGCTGTAGCTATATTATGGTTGCAGCACGAATGGGTCGACTTGACAGGGGTCAGACCACGCCCTCACATAATACCAGCATAAAAACAGCTTAATACTGCTGTGTTTCATATGGTGATTGTACAGAACTGGGACCCTTTTTACTGGAAACGAGGCATTTCATGTTAGTACTCTGGATTAAAAGTCATCTGTATTTTGATCCTTAATCGAGGTTAGATGTAGATGTCTATAGGCCACAGCATCCACTTACGATCAGTTTGTGTGCTCGTTTGTCACCCTTATACTATAAAAATAATATTGACTGGTAATTTTGCATTTACCTGGTATATTTTAAATTGCTAGTCAGTTTTGTCTAATGTACGAGCAGAATTACAGTGCGGCGACAATATTGCTCCAGCTTATGTTGAGTCCATTAGTTTCCATTTCATTGGTGCAGCCTAATATAAATTTTAAGAATATTATTCATCGTTTGCTATGAATAAAAATTCTTTCTTTCTTTCTAAAATGAATGGTAAAGACTTTATGAAAATATTTCGTGAAAGCCGCATAGGAATCGGTTCAAAGGGGGAATCGGTATCGAGAATGAAATCAGTGTATCCAAACAGATCCCCTCGAGCGGCGGATGACAAGAAGAGGACGGTAAATTTCCCGGAGAATCTTCTCTCTCTACCGCAAAGGTTGGAGAACTTGATAGCGGAACAACAGCGAAGGCTGGACCGGGCCGTGATAGACACTTCGGGGCGGAACGTCCCACGTGCCTCGCAGTCCTTACCGCAGCTCTCTACTGAAACTGATCAAGACAACATAACGCCTGAAATAAACCGCGGGTGAGTAGTAGACATAGTTTTTCATCATCATCATTATCATTACAGCCTTTCACAAGTCCACTGCCGAACATACGCCTACCACAAGGAATGCCACAAAGCACAGTCCCGAGCCACCTGCATCCATCGACTTCCTGCATGTCTTTTTTTATAGGATAATGGTGACAAACGAACACAGTCCACCTGATGGTAAGTGGTTGCTGTGGCCCATAGACACCTACACCTGTCCCCGATTACGAATAAAAATGCAGATGCGTTGTCACCCTGAGGACTAAGACGGAATGCCTTGTTTCCAGTGAAAAGAGAATCATCGAAATCGGTTCACCCAGAAAAAAGTTATTCATAAAGTTATATTCCCTTCTTGCCTCAGCCAGTATCGGTATCCTCGGAGTCGACATATCGAGTGACGTGCAGTTTCGTGGTCACTTGGAAGGGAAGGCCAAATTGGCCTCTAAAAAGCTTGGCGTGCTCAGCAGAGCGGGACAGTATTTCATGCCGGCACACCGCTTGCTACTTTACAAGGCGCAAGTTCGGCCTCACATGGAATACTGTTCCCATCTCTGGGCAGGGGCTCCCCAGTGCCAGCTCCTTCCACTTGACCGCATCCAACGCAGAGCGGCTCGAATTGTCGACGACCGAGCCCTTTCCGATCGGCTCGATTCATTGGCACTGCTAAGAGATGTTGCATCCTTTTGCATTTTCTTTCGCATCTACCATGGGGAGTGCTCTGAGGAATTGTTCGGATTAATCCCAGCCGCCAAATTTCACGAACGCACATCGCGGCAGAACTCCCGATACCATCCACACCATCTGGATGATTGGCGGTCCACCACTGTGCGATTTAGAAGATGTTTTCTTCCTCGCACGACCTCCTTGTGGAATCGATTACCATCAGCGATTTTTCCGGACCGATACGACTTAGGGACCTTCAAGAAAAGAGCGTACTCCTTTTTAAAAGGCCGGCAACGCATCTGCGATTCCCCTGGTGTTGCAGTTGTTCATGGGCGGCGGTAGTCACTTACCATCAGGTGAGCCGCATGCTCGTTTGCCCCCACTCCTATAAAAAAAAAATTAAAAAAAAATGAAAAGGGTCTCCGGTTCTCTAAACTTACCATATGAAACACAGCAGCGTTAAGCTGAGAGCGTGGTCCTTCCCTGGTCGAGCTATAACTATAATTCTACGAGCATGGTACCATTACCTAGTCGTGACTCCTAGTGGGGGCCGCCCTAGCCACATTGTGAATTTTAAGCCCTGAATGCGAAGTCTTATGGCTCTGATAAATGAAAAAGATTTTTTTATATAAATATAAAGAAAACAAAAGAAAAAAATATTAAAAGTAGCTTGTGTATGTCACGCTGCTCGTGCATGCCTCTTTATACAGCAAGTAGTCCGCCGCGAAGCTGCCATTAGAACCAAACGGTTTTGCTTCATCTTTTGTAATGCGTTCAGCATAGGAGTGGAATGATTTGCCGTCATTCCGTCCGAATATCAATCAATCGGTCAATCGGTCAAGAACACTGGTCAAGTCATAGACAAATTCAAGGTCCTTTACTTATTTTTACTTTTTTCTACGTCATTGATTTAAGTGCATTCAAGTAATTTATTTTAGGATATTCCTCAATAAGAGTAGAATAATTGGTTCAAACGATGCCAATGACTACAAAGTCATCATGCACATATGTACATATATACGAGTGTTGATTTCGTGCTGTTGTTTAGATTTTTTTTATTTATTGGTTGATTCATCTACATTAAAGCTTATTCATTATCATTATCAGCTTTGTGACGGGCGCATATGAGTAGATAAACGGAACAGAGATAAAGCTTCATACAACCGCGCGAATCGGTTGCACTACTACAAGCACGCAGGACTTGTGAGCGTGACCACTGGCCGCTTGTCGCGTACGGGCCATACTGGAAAAAACCGGTTTCGTTGCACAGCCAGTGGACATTATCTCAAGCTTCGGTCACACATAGCGAACACTCGCTGCGATTAGGTACTCGCAGCAAGAATTGCCTATGTGTGATAGGCTATTCGCTGCGATTAGATTCATTCGCCGCGAGCAGAATTCGCTGCGAATTGAATTAAACATGTTCAATTTTACTCTCTGCGAATGAGTACTCGCTGCGAGAATTCCTTGTGTGTGACAGGGTACTCGCTGCGAGTAGCCGTTCTGCTCCAGACTACACGCCTGTGCATAGGTCGTTTCGTTGCTGCATAATACGTGTGTGTAGATCAATCTAATTAGTTAACCAATAAAAGATTCTCTGCAATGGGGAAATTAGGATATAATTCGTTTCTTGGCTGTGTATAGAAAAAATGGGGAGTTGTTTAACACAAATAACAGTAATTTAAAAAAACGCAAAGGCGCCTTCATTGTTTAACGAATTAATTGAGTTGGGATTCAAAATTGCAACCCAAGAGCAATTGAAAAAAAATTAAGAATATAAAAATACACATTATAGATAATTCTCGTGTAGTACTCGCTGTGTGTGTCAGGCAGGCAGCGAAGTGTGTGACCGAAGCTTCAGGATCAGTGCAATGCACGTTGTTTGTTTTGTTAGTTGCAGTTTGAATATTTTAATGTAAAAACGTGGTATTATTAATAATGGTTGTTTATTTTAGTTGAATATAAGATACCAGAAAAAATAAAAAAATTTAATACTCTAACTATCCCAATAAGTACAATAGGTAAGTAAATATTTGATTATTACTTTTTCGCGATTTTAATAAGAATATTGTCAATGCTGCCAACTAATTTTAAAGATTTTAATTTTGATATGACATGTGGATATTACTTGAAAATTTTTTATCTTGGATTCAGAATTTACCACACCATAAAATGGAACAAAAATTATTCAAAAAACAAAACTTATAATAGAGAAAACTATTAGAGTAAATAATTTGTAAAGTATTCCTTCATAGTGAATACAACAAATTAAACAAAATATTTGTTAAAACTATTTAACAAATATTTTGTTTAATTTGTCTTCACTTATTGTGACAACCCTACCAAAGTATCAATTTTACTCTTTGTCTCTGTTCCGTTTATTTTATTTACTCATGTGACGAGGAGGGGGATATCAGGGTCAAAGGTACGAGACGTTTGGCACTGTGATCTTCAATTAGACATGTGTCAATCGTGAACGATTCGATTGACTTGTGTCGCTTCAAAGTATTGATGATTGCAACTTCATTAGACTAGAACAACTAGAACTACATAAACGACCAAAAAGTATAAGTAAAAGTATAGTAATGTGAAACTAACGACATTATCGAGCGGGTCTTACAGATCACAGAGTACTGAAAACTCGAAATGATCCATTTGAACGATCGACCAGAATGACCCAGATCGTAAGACGAACCAATACTTGAATGATCGGGTCACTAGAGAGGAATGAATAACACAACATATCTACTTCAATCCGCCTGCATAGACAGACGATTAAGGCAAATACTCCCTACAACGAGAGCCGCATGTCGAGCTTGGACTTTCCCGAGCCGATAAGGAAAATTAAAGATTAACATTTTTTACTACATTCCAGCCATTGTCTTTTCATTGTCTTTTAACTTCACTTTACTCTCTAGATGTAAAAAAATATATGCAGAAGCTAAGATTTGCGTCAAGAATGAAATAAAAAATATGTTTCTTAAATAGTTTGCCCTTCCTCAATTCGGTATGTAAACTTTTTCAAGGGTTAAACAACTCGTATTGTTATAAACACTATTTTAAAATATTTTTGGGTTCTAAGCAATAGTTAATTTTAAATAGATATTTAAATATTGCTAATGATGACGTCATAGAATTGAGTGAATAGCTTGCAACCTTTTTCAAGCATAATAATTAAAAATTACAAATTTTGAGACTTCAATATAAATTATTGGGAATAACTCATAAACTATTAGTCGGACATTGATCATTGATTTATATGGGACCATATGTGAAGCACCAGCTTTCAAATAAAAAAGAATAATCGATATCGGTTCACCCAGTAAAAAGTTATGAAGTAACACATAAAAAAAACATACAGTCGAATTGAATAACTCCCCCTGTTTGAACTCGGTATAAAAGTCTTTTGAAATCTACCTACATGCCATGTTATAATTTGATTATACTTATCCAAATACAAACATTGCTTTCGCGTATTTTATTATCATTTAATTTAAAATATTTGTAAAAAATTCCGTATCATAAATAACTTTTATTAATTGACTGTTATTTTATTAAGTGTTTGTTATTTAAAATGAATACAAACTACGAATATATGGGTTGTTGTAAATCTTACTAGCTGGTAAAAAATATAATCTTACTAGCTGGCCAGGCGGACGTTGTTCTGCCCTCGCCGACGACCCTGAGCCCTATAAAAATTCTTAATAAAAATATTGAGGGTCATTTATAGGGATAAAAACTATCCTATCTCTCAAGTTGAATCAAACTGCACACAGTGTGCAAAATTTCATTGCAATCAGTAGTTTAGTTCATCGCGGACAAACAATGTGACACGTAATTTTTATATATATAAAGATTATTTTATAAACAAAACCGAGAATTTGTACTTTTGACAATTTCTCAATTATGACAATATATTTGATTATTAATTGTCAATTGAAAATCACTAGACTAGATATTGGTCTCACTTCCTTCAGTCTATTTTATGACGTCATTTGGAGGTGAAATGAAAGTCAATGAATTCCATGAAATTTTATTAATACCATTCTTTATTTTTAAGACCTCTTAACAGCAAAATAGAGTTTATTAATGATAAATCGTGAAACGGTTTCAGCATAGCCTATAATTTTCTTTACATACCGAATTGATTGCACTATCCCCGTCACTACTAATTCCAATACTCCGATGATGTTGGGAATCTAGGTGGCTTATTGCTGAGGTCTTTCCTAGAGTAGTGATGATGAGATTAGTGGAGACGCAAAGTAACGCCTGATTCTTCTAATTATCACTTTACTCTTCCAGAGAATGTCAACAGTATGTAACGACTTTTAATGCAGCAAATTTTCTAGGTGCTAATATTTTGTAAATCATTTATTTCATTTCACTCGCCTACCTACCTTGCTTTCTTGCAAATTTTCAGTTTTAATGAAAAAAGCAAATACTAATAGATTCGACCTTGTAGTAGGTTTAATTAGCAACAAAACTGTAGGCTTTTCTTAAAAAAAAAAACACAAAATCTCTTTCGTTATACATAGAAAATATTTTCTAAAATATTATAATCGTTTAACGCAGAAGGCGCGGTACCGCGGCCGAACTACAGGGCCAAATGCCTTGGGCTTACATCCCCGCATCAGCCCACCGCATGCGAGACCAGTTGCCGCCTGATGAAGACTTACCACCCGTCCCGCTGCCTGATTACACCGCCATACCCTCGTTTAGGAAAACTTGTGAGTCGACGTATTTTTTTTAAATAATATGTCACGATGTGGCCAGTGCTATCCTTAAAATTCTCTCGTTCATTCTTTTTAATTTTGGCGGTAATACACAGTAGTTTTAAAGATTACTAAAATATTTTTTTATGCTTTCTAATGCTTTTTGTAATTAATAGTAAAAAATGCCACATCTGTACGTTATTTTTTAAAAAGTTTATTTTTGAAATAAGATTTCATCAATAAAAATTCTGCTTCGCAATCAAAGTTTAAATGGAGAAATACAAAAATTATTTGTGGCCATTAATTAATTCATATTATTTCGTCCGGGATTCGAATATTCGGGTTGGGATTAGCATGCAATCAAATTTATATTTACTATTAGTTTCTATAATATTCTTTAATATCGTCCATCTAAGACTTTTTTATGTTCGGAATCAATAAAGTTTACAAAATTAGCGTAATACCATTTTTTGCTTGTTCTGTTCAACAGTATTTCAATATTCTAAATGATAGAACACATTCTATAATATCCATTCCATTTTTCATTTCATCTGTCATAAGTATATATATATATATATTTGTGATCAATATGTTAACAATGTATTCTACCATTTTCATAATTTTTGTATGTGTGTGTGTTATAGCAACTATAGCATAACATTAATTAAGATAATTTTTTAAACTCTAAACTCTATTCTAATGTAACATTATTTGATGCATTTTGTTTACTTTAAATCGCAGATAAATTTAAATGGACTTGTTATTCTTGTTGGTAAACCCAAATTCTGATACAATGTAAGATCACTTGTCATAGTGTAATGGAAAATAATTTTTGAATGTCTTATTGTGTTATTTTTTAAACGAAATGTCTATAGAAACATATTTCAATTTGCTAATACTTAAATGGTTTTTTATTATTAAATTACTAAAAAAAATTCGTAATTTTTTCAGCCGTTCACCGAGCTGCTTCTAGTCTAAGTTCTTTGACGCAGAAAAGGGAGTACCTTGCAGCGAAGGCGGGGCGACGTAAGTGTTAGTTTTATTTGTCCATATTATTCATCAAATATCTAGAAGTTAGAATAGAATAAAATATTGTTTTATAATTAGAAATATTACCGTGTAGTGGCGGTTTTAGAATATCAACTATCCCAAATCAACCCGTGGGCGTCTACTGCGACTATACGTTATAGAACAAAGGAGGTCTTCATATATTCACCGCGACTGAAAGTCGCTAACAGAAAGCTAACAGCCAAGAAAACAAACGGTAAAAATAAAAATTTTGTACAACCGACTTCAATATAAATTATTAAGAATTAGCTGGTCTCCGCGCGTTGCTGTCGCAGAAGAAATAATTGCGGAAATATCGTTTTAAATTTCGAACGGTTGTATTGTTTAATAGGGAATTATAAAACATTAATTGAAGTTGATTGATACTTACATAGTTTTCGAATAAATTTGTCGGTAAAATACGCGCGCCACCTAGTGTAAGTTAATTGTACTATGCCTATACGGACATATGCTCACAGACTAACTAGTACATTCTAAACTACTGATCAGACTGATAAACATCAACTTTCAAATAAAAAAGTAATCATCAAAATCGGTTCACCTAGAAGAAAGTTATGAAGTAAGACGCATATAAAAAACGTATAGTCGAATTGAGTACCTCCTCCTTTTTGGAGTCGGTTAAAAAAGAAACGGATCACGAAAAGATGTAGGGACATGGAATGCTAATTTCTTATGGCAGCGAAAGATGTCGACTTAACCATCTCAACAGTAAAGTATTCAGACAGAGCAGCGTCCAAGATGCCCACGTCTAGTAGCGTGGTACTAAGAAATCCTTCTCACACTGAGACTCGTGTTCAGCGATATTCGGCTACTTACGTAGATGAAAACATGTGAAATATTAAAGCGATTTCTCCTTTCAGCCCCTCTGACGCAGTCGGACGTTCTGTACTAAGAGAAGTTACATCCGCAATATCACAGTTTCTTAAACGAAAACCTCGTGCTAATCAGCTCTTACAAGAATAATCAAGGAATAATAGAACCAGAGATCGTTCAAAATCAGATATATTTATAGTAAAAATATTAATGTTTACTAGGATTATTGTAAATGTGAAAGTATGTTTGTTTGCATGTTAGTTCTTTAATCACGCTTGAACGTCTAGACCAGGGCTCGGAAACGTTATTAAAAATAACGTTTTTAAAACGTTTGGGACGGTTCCTTGTATAACATTTCGTTCGGAACAAAAACGAAATGAGAACGTAATGTGAAAACGTAAAAGACGGTTTATTCCACAGGAAGCTAAATGAATGGCACGTGCCACGACAAGTTTAAACCTATATATATATTAAAATTGTTAACAACGTTTTATTGAACAAGAACGATTTAAAATGTCTTTCTCTTCATAAACGTTTTTATTATGATTCCGTTCGAACATAAACGAAACAAATAAGTTATTAGGCGTTTCGAAAAATATACCGCTATCCGAGCCCTAGTCTATACAGATACTAATAAAAATCTGGCACAGAAATCGATTATGTCGTGGATTAGGACATTGGATAGGTACGTTTTATAAAAAAATATTGTTTAAGTTTAATCTACGCCCTGCGAAGTAACAGTATTCAATATTAAATCCAATATTCTCGGGTTATTATGTTCTTAAAGAAATAGTAGCAATTTCATTCTGTAAGTGATATTAATTTATCGAAAGTAAAATGAAGCTCTAAGCTGTTTCTTTACAGAAGAGACGTGACTAGAGCGCGTGGCGATGGCGGATAATCAAAGAAACATAAAATAGACCTTATTTGTAACAACAATACGACTAAAAATGGGATGGGATGGATAGATACGCGAGCTCACTTCTCATTCTGACAAAAACGACGGTATGCTACATTACTATTAGGTCTATTCTATGTTTCTTTAACTTTCCGACACCGCCACACGCCTTCGCCATGTCTCTTCTGTATAAACTGCACCTAGCAGTAAATCTTCAAAACGCTTAAAAGATTGTCGTTTGGTAAATAAGTAAAGTTTCAGTCAAGAATAGCAAGTGTATAGGTACGTGAGTGAGTGAATAGATTAACCGCAGGGCTAGCATGGACAGGAGACAATTTTATACCCGGGGAAAAGAGAAAATGTCCTCACTTGGTTGTATCCACCCTTCAGGTATGGGCACACCGGTGAATACTAAAATGGGAGATAGACTTAGACTTAGATAGATTTTTTGTATGAATATAAACTGAAACCGACGTCCAATGAACTGGGATAAAATTGTCCCTTTCAAATGTCAAAAAAGCATAATTTTTTATCTTTCATTTGCTCCATGCTACTGACGGGGGATACAGTTTTTGTCCCCAGCCCATGCTAGCCGTGGAGGTGGTATGAATTCTCTTCTACTGATATATACTTATTAGCGAACCTCTTTTTAGATATTATTAATAAGACCTTATCGTTTAGATAAATGATTTCATCGCGTTTAATTTACTATTCCAATAGATCGGAACAAAACTATTACCATCACCATTGTAGCCTATCAAACAGGCTTAAGTTTCAATCATAGGGGATATACACTTTAAATGCCATACTTCGCAAGCGGGTTGGCAACCGCATTTTTTTATTATATTGAATTATCAAGAAGATGCTGCTGCCCATCTCCTGGTTCATTAGTCACTTCTTATGAAACCCACGAGCCGAAAAATAATAAGTTAGTCAATTATTGGGAGACGTAAGATGATGTTTCGGAACACTTTCTTACGTTACGCATATGCTATAAATTCCGCTATAGATTAATTTCTTATTAATAATAGGCCAAATAAAGAGTGTTTTAATTTTAAGTGAGTTGTGTTGCCTTAATTTACTTTTAGGATTGTTAGTGAAATTGTGGGATAATCAAATAAATGAAACGTGTCAAAGGGGTTTTTCTGCCACCAGGGCGGCGCCACTTAAAAGTGAGTTAAATCTGTTGATTGAGATTTCACAGCGGGGAAGTTAATCAGTTGGAAGAACGTAAAGGTTAATGCTTCTTTCTGTATTATTAGTTATATTTTGACATCTGGTGAGCGGAAATTAACCTTCATTGACATCACTGTGAACGTAGAAATCCAATATTTTTACCACGGTGTATAAATAGAACATAATCATTTTTATAAGTTATATTAAGATACATGAGAATGTATTTAAGTAGATAATAATGTTATATTGAATAAAACTATTTTTACGGGTTTTACGGCGTTTAATTGGAAGTAAAATAGTAAATTAAACGCGATAAAATCCGTAAAAAATAGTTTTATTCATCTAAATCTAGTACGAATCTAGTACGTAGTACATATATATCGATGGTTCGCGTAAATATAAGAAATTATTAATAATATTATATTTAAGCTTTGTAAATGGATTTTAAGATTGGATTTTTCATACAATTTTACAATACCATCAAATACATTAAAGAAAAAATCTTAAATTTAATAATAATAAATCAATATTATTAGGTAATATTTTATAAGAAAATTTGTTGTAAAAATAGCTGTGTGTAAAAAAAAATTCAATTAATATCTTACTATCTTTATTTGTTCTAACTTATTACGTTTTTTTTTTGAAAACACTAGAACGTTTTTAAAATATTTATAAAATAATAAATAATAATCAACCATTGACAACGTACGTTACGCGTCATGTTTCTAAAAAGTCTATGGTTTTTCATTATTATTCCTCATCTTTGCTTTCGCATTTCACTTAAATGTGACATGCGTTTAGTATTCTCGAGGTCAACAGAACGCCAATAACCTATTTAAGTCATTTGATGAACACATGCCTATCCAAGAATGAACACTGTCAGATTTCCTAATATGAGCAACTCTGCACTCTAGGCAGACGGGTTAGTGATCAAAGAGCTGGTAACCACGCACAGTAACCTAAGGCTAACATTTTTATTTACCATAAGAAATATCGATTATTCACTTCTTTTGTACCGTAACATAGGCGTCCCCCATAATATTTGCTCATAGCGGGATATTAGCCATAATAGCCACGATTGACGGATTAGCAACCGCAGTTTTTTATTATTTTCAGCTGTTATCAGAAATATGCTCCGGTTTAATTTTCCTATGTCGCCTCTTAAGTCACCCACGGGATGATATAGGGTAGTGGACTCTCTTACGTAGCCACTATACGACATGTTCATTAATGGACTAGATAAGTTGTTATAAATGACATAAATGTATTTGTATTTACTTCACTTATGCTTTATAACTGTAGTAAATTGGTTTGTGTTAAAAAAATACTAAGAGGCTGTAATAATAAAAGCATTTTTAAGTTAAGTATACATACATAATTTAAAATAATATTTTCTTTTAAAATCTTAAAAAATCCAATCGAATTAATCACTGGTTGATTGTTATAACTGGTTATAACAATGATAGCTATAAAATGACCAATATTACAATTACGAAAAGTAATGTTTATTGTTATCATAATATTATTATATTGAGAAAGTATTGTGCTGAAGCTTTTATCGATTTTGTAAATAAGGTACAATTTTACTTTACATTAGTCTGTCTTTTTAGTTATAAGGAAAGTGTAACATTGCCTTTTTTGTATTATTAAGCAATTTTGTATTTTGTATGTAATTAATAATTATATAATTAATAATTATTTACACATAAACAGTTGTTATAATATATAATATCACTAAAATAGATTGGTTTTATTTCATTTCACACCTAAGAGAAAATTATTTCGAGCACACTATACAAAAGCAATAGTTAAAAACACGCTAAATGCGAGTCGGACTCGCACATAAAGGTAAAGTAGGGGAGCCATTTTTAATTTTTAATTTATATTTATTTTTATTATTTGTTGTTATAGCGGCGACTGAAATACACATTCTGTGAAAATTTCAATTGTCTACCTATTACGGATCATGAGATACAGCCCGCTGACAGACAGACTGACGGAGACGGACGGACGGACGGACGGAGAGCGGAGGCTTAGTAATAGGGTCCCGTTGGTTACCATTTGGGTACGGAACCCTCAAAATAGACAGAAAAAATACTATACTAAAGTTTTTTTTATATGTCTATGGAAGGGGCAAAGATGAATTAAGACATGTAATTTCAATAAAGACAAGGAATTTAAATTATTAAAAACCCGAGTCTATTTTTTGATTAACGCGACGCGATGAATTAACGAAATTCTCCACTGAATTAACAGTTTCGAATACCGGGTTAACTAAATGATTTTTACTAATACGAAACGGACGTCAGAACGTAACTTTTACTTTAAAAAAAATTAATTTTAAGTTTAAAGATTAAAATTTAAAGTTTAAAATTTCAAATTTCAGGTTTCAAGTTTAAAGTTCACGTAATCGCACTGAGATAATCGGATCGGATGACTGTTTGCGTTCGAAGTCTGTGTAAAAGTGCTGTAGCTCCCCATTTACAGAAATTATTTATATACGAGGCTACCAAATTAACTAAAATTTCGCCATTTTGGAGCCGAAAAAAATTAATTATAGCTAAACAAAACAAAATTACACTGCCATTTACATTCAGTGGCTTCCCACATGATAGATGAAGAGATTAAAAAATAGATTGAGTTAAACAATTGATATTTTCAATAGTTATCGTGTTTACAGGGACATGATAAATCCACACCATAAGCCACTAAAACCCATTTTTTTATTTAAAAATAGCAATTAATCGATTTAAAAAAATTATTAATAAGTTCAACAATCATTTATCTTTCTAAAACTAATTAATTTTGTGTTGTCAAATCAATAACGTCCATGATACACTGTTTTCCATTAAACAAAAAACTACGAATTTAAACTCCATATTATACTGTATTTTTATAAAAATAAAGTCATTCATCAACTGCCGCCACAGCGACTAGTCGCGACTAGCAGGGCACTCTTGCATCACTTTTCGACCGAAACAAACACTTCTCCCTCGTTCCCCGTT